ACAATAACAAAAACAATTCATATTCACATCAAAGGTAAAGACCGGATTCTTCAACGAAGAAATGAACTTCTGCAAAAACAGACAAAACTTGTTTCCTTTGGGAACAGTCACAAACACATGCTTCTTCCTTCTCAACTGCCACTCAATCACATTACAACATAGCAACCAAATAGAAGCTCTGTTCTGTTTGGGAGAAGGGTTGTTGATCACTATACAGTGGGGCTGCAATCTCTCCAGTTGCTGCCAAATACCATCTTGACCCTTCATAGTGGAAAAGTTGTATCCTGCCTTGAAATCCATAGGAGATGCAACCTTAACACCATTCTTTGAAAGGAACCAAGATAATCCACTGTTTCCATGAAGTAACTCAACAACATCAGGATGATCATCATTACAGAAGAAAAAGGACTGTTCTCCAAATTCGGCATCAACATACAGTTCGTGATCTTCACGTAAGTTCTCCGGATTCTCATCGTCTAATGCCGGTATGGAAACATCATGCCACTCATCGTGATCACGTCTAACCTTTGACTGATTCACACGTACCACTGCCTTACCAGTGTTGGCTTGGACCATAGCTCCTTCTTGTCCAAGTACTGTGGCACGAACCCAACGTCCTTTATCCTTGAACTTTGATGAATCCTGAGTCCAAATAAAAACCTTCTCTCCTTGGAAATAAGGACCGTCGCTTGGCATAGTCCTTCTTGCAAGATCTGCTCGAAGGTCCTGAGCTTGTCGTGCTTCTTGATGAGCTCTCAAAGCCACACGTTGTAGTTCCAAATTTGTACGATCTTGTGCGGCGGCATTAGCTGACAATTGCTCAGGGCTTGCGGTCTCAAGGTCAAAAAGATCTGGTGGACGTCTTCCAGTTGCTATCTCTATTGGTGAATATCCACTGATAGTCAACTGACAATTTCTTGCCCAAACTACCTTCTTGACCACTTCTCTGACCGTAACACCACGAAAACGTGGGTCATCTAGATCTACCTTCATAACATGCCACATACGTTTGAACAAACGTACAGCTGTCTCTGCTCGGTTCGGCCAAGGAGTTCTTGGCCCACAAGGACATTGTTGTATACCATGGAACCTGTAGTATTCAACAAAAGCATCGGTGAAAAAGGCTTCGTCTCCTACGATGGCCTTCGGAACACAATTGTTCTCATCAGACCATTGCCTCAATGCTTGGATGGTGGTTTGATCTATGAGGTCTTTCTGTGCCGTAGCCCAGAGAAGATTTGTGGCACCATCAAGAACAAGTAGAATGATATACTTGTTCTTGTGAAGTTCAACCTCACAACGATCAGCAAAAACAACATCACCAAAACATGAAGCTCTAATACCGGAGACTCTGGCTCGTGGCGGAGGTGCCACTGAAGTGTTACAAACACGGCAATTCCTGACAACCGATTCATACTTCTCTAAAACAGAGTCAGGAAGCTTCAACATAGAAACACGTCTACGAAACTGAGTAGGACTCATATGGTAGTGCTTCACATGAAGCTTATAAAGCTCTACCTTGTCCTCCAGTCTCTGTAACATCTTCCTATATGCCGGTGTCATTGCAACAACTTCACTACCAGGTAATGGGATTGAAATCCGCCTAGGCTCAAGAGCGCCATCACCTGGTTCAAGTGGTTCATGTTTATCACTTGATGGTCCTTTTGATGCTTTAGGAATTTCTACAAGTTCACCTTCTGGCCTCTCAGGTGGTTCTGAGGGAGCATACTCCTCAAGATCATCACCCTTTAAATCATTTTGAGGCTCAGATGGTTTTGACTTGTGTCCCTTCCAAAATGGATCAAAACCCTTGGAAGTATACCGAAACTTTGGCGGCACGGGCTTTTCCGCGGCACTGGCTGGTGCACCTTCCTTCTCTGACGAGAAGCCTGGTTCCCTGTCCTTTGCAATGGGAACCTTCTCTGAGGAGGAGCGCACCACTGCATCGGGATCACCAATGCCACGGTGCTCAATGCCAGCCTTCCTGATCTTTAGATCTGGAATTTTGGCATCTGGCTTAAATTTAAAAATTGTTCTACCACGCCATTCATAGCCAAGTTGTAGGTCCTTCCATTTTGCCTTGCGCCAATCATCTGTCTTCTTGATTTCTTCTCCTCCTGCTTTCTTCTTGATGATTGTCAGTCGCAAGTCTTCCAGCAAGTCAGTGTCTACAGGACAGGACTTAGTTGCTGGGGAAAGAATTTTCCTGTAATCCTTGTGGTGACGTATCAGTTCTCTCTTGTGAACATCTACTTCCCAGAAATCAACCACAGGATATGCATGCTCAGCTTCACCTTCATCACTATTGTGTTCAACAGAAATATGGCCATATTCATAGTGAGTGAGGTGAGAGTAAAAACTCTTCTCACGCTGAGTCTGCCAACGCACGTCAGACAGATACCATGCAATATCTTGGAAGTCCAACACAAGATGAGTACTGGCTGCAACCTTCAACTCCAAAAATTTGATACCAAGAGGCACCGATGTCAGATAAGCATGTTGAGGTGTCAGCCTGAGTTCAAAGCCTAAGTTCCTCATCTGTGGCAAGCTCATAAGCAAAGGGACTTCTCCTTCTTCCACTATGTCGAACTCTGTATGGTGGATCGTCCATGCACGATCATACATGTAAATCACCAGTTTCTGAGAGCAAGTAGCCTTCTGGGAATTGGCAAAGTAAAACTTGCTCTTGGTAGACTCAAAAGAGTACCATAATCCACAATCTGGGTGATTGTCGACATAGTTGCAAAAATGGTCGACTGCTCGCCTTGATCCCATAGCTCTAGTGCATCCAATATCCAGGATTGCAATAGTTGGCGGGAAGCGATTCTCAGTCAAAAATGAAATAGCCTGCATCTCCTTCACTTCTTCCTCAGCGCTCATAAGCGCAAAGCCATCAGCGCTCATAAGCGCAAAGCCATCAGGAGCCTTTGTGAGCATCTCCTTTGACAAAGAGTACCTCACAGGGGCACTCATGTCATCGAAGATCGTCTCACCATTGTTGACCACGCAGTCAGCTTCATCTTGGCATGAGGTCATCATGCCTGACAGCAAGTCCACCTCACTGTCATGGACTTCAGCTGCTGCTGTCACACAATGTGCTAAGAAAACTTGTTGACCTCCTGATGCTTGTGAAGTTCTTGAAGGTGCAGGTAAAGAACGTGGCTGTTGTTGATTTGCATAGTTTGCATCTTGTTTGCCATCTCCTTTATCCTTTCCTCCTTTCCTTTTCCTTTCTTGCCTTTTCTCTTGCCTTTTCCTTTTCCTTTGTGGGAAAACCATGCTTCTTCAAGCTGTTGCCAAAAGTCATTGGCATCATCATATTCTCCTTGAAGATAGTCATTCATATCCTCGGCAAGAATGGCATCATATGCTCCTTGGGTTGACTCCCAAGTATCCTCATAAGGATTCTCTTCAAAGTACTCTTCTGGATATGTTGTTTGTTGCTCATCAGCAAAATGGCCTTTACCTCGTCTCTTTCCTTTTCCTTTTCCACGAGGTCTGAAGAATCTGCGGCCTGATCTTCCTTTTCCTTTTCCTTTTCTTCTTCCTTTTCCTTTGCCTTTTCTGGCTCTTCTTCCTTGGAATCTCCTTTGGAACCATGAGAAGTTTTGATCATCATATACCCAAAAGACATCGTCCAGGGCATCTAAAAATCCTTCTGTTCCATCTTCTTCATCTTCGGCCCAATAGCCAAATGTACCATCGAGTTCTCCTTCGTCTAGTACGAGAAATGATCTTCTACCTCCAGCACCTGTCGGCTGCATCAATGGATTGTCTACTGAAGTCTTTGTTGTGCAGAACATCTCGATGAACACTGTCCTCAACTCTTTTGTAGTATACTGCTGCAGGACCCTGCCACGATGAGTCATCAATGAAGTCAAAGTGTTTCGCTGGTCCTGAGACAAATCTGCAAGGGACAGCATGAGTAGGGCAATGAGATTCTCTCCTAAAGGAAAATCATTCTGATGAAGAATTCTCATATTGCCATTGACATTCTGCATGATTTCCTGAATCCTTTCTGCCGTTGGTGCTACTCCAGTCAACGCTGCATCTGCCTGCATCTGAGCAAGGACTTGGGGATGTGCTTGAGTGACTGGTTCTAACATGTCCATCCAACTGCTCATAAGCCTTTGGAGTAAAATCTGGAATCTTGTCATCCATTTCATCATGTCAGCTGATCCTCGATTGAATCGCACGAAATGCATAAACCTGTATAGGAATACATTGGTTGATCCTTTCACGAAATATGGTCGTAGTACTCGTTTGAAGTAATCTACTCCTGCTCCTGGTGGCTCATTAGCCTTCAATGAATCTCTGTCTAATACACGTTTGTATACTGCTGCTTCTCCTTCTAATCTGTTTCTCAAAGCTGGTCCTCTCTTCTCATCTTCCAGCTCGGTGATATCACACCAATCGTCTATGGCATCCTCATAGGAAAACCATGAAGTCTTTCCATCATAAGATGGGGGCACCTTTGTAGTGACCTGTGTTGTCATAGCTATCGCTGCTGGTTCTCTTCTCACATGCCTATTCACGTAGGCTGCTGGCTCATAAGCCACATCCGCATCAGGCTCTTCCCAGTCGTCAATCCAATCCATGGCCGGTTGCCCACAAGCAAGTCTATGCCTAGGAAAGGAGCTCACCTGGGTCTTCCAGGATCACTGCTCCGCTACCACTGAAAGAGTGACTAGGGCGTACACGGTAGAGGTGCAGACCGCTAGTGTCTTTTGCTCACGCAGAGTCTTATCCTTAGGTCCATTGACCCTCTCTTGAGCCTTGAAGCAGTCAAGCATGGACACACTATATCAGCTGTTGAAGTGGAACCCTGTACAGGTAGGCTCTACTTTTCAGGGGGGGGGTCCATAAGATTGATTTAATCAATTATTTGAGGTTTCTGAGGTGCGTCCACCCCGTCACTTAACTTGCTAAAGCAAGAGCAACTCCAGCTAGCTAAGGCTAGCTTTCGTGATTAATTTGCCGAACACTCCAACGTGGCAAACCTTGTGACAGAGATGGCCATGATAATGAAGACCCAGGTGCGGACGCCTGCGGGCAGCATGCAGAGTTGCTAATCCTTGTCGTGACGTTTCTTCTGTCAGCGGCTTCCAATCCGAATGCGTCTCAACACTTCTCAAACGTTTGGATTGCAGCTTAGACTTGGAGGTGGCGCAAACATGCGCAAACTATCGCTATTCAAACAAAGCGAAGCAGGAATACGCACTTTGCAAACGTGCAGGTGATGCTTGATAAGGCCAGCCAGCCACAGGCACAGTATAAATGCCAACAAACCATTGGGGTCGTCGATAGCTTCTATCCCTGAGATGTTGCGCCACTGAAGATCTGAGTCATTCAATTCATTCCCCTACTGTCAGCAACACTCGCGCCTTGCAGGCTCAAATTCCTCCGTGCAAAGCAAGATCGAAGGACGCCCGTGACGAATGTATTTATCAGTCACCACAAAAGCCACAAATACAGATCAACATAGTGCAAACTCAAGTTTCAATGTGAGGAGTCGAACTAAAGTATACAGTATGCTGGGTTTAATCTATGTTCCTCTTCATGGAATCGGCCTACTAAATGGATAAACTACGGAAGCTCCCTTGTTGTGGAGTCATTGCACGTCATTACCTAGCAACATGTCGGCAGGACCTGCGAAGTGGGGCTAAGCCTTCGTGAAACTTTGGCCAAACTGTTGCCACAAAAGGTCGCGAGTTCAGCAGGTGTTCATGGCCCAAGAGTATACTTCATAACAATGGAACTTTCGCGGATCTTTCGTCAAACATCCAATACTCTCTGACTAAGTCAAACATGACTTTCACGCAACTTATGGTTTGCAACATGAATGTCTGTCGATGAACAAGGTCCTGAACAAGGACCTGCTGATAAACTCCTGTACAATTGCTGGTGACAAAACATGCACTGCTCAAAAACACTACTGCTTTGTCTGCTATGGGGATCATGAACAACATCCTCTTTAAAACATCATTAGTAACCTTAGGAGACACTTACTTGTAACTTCAAGGGCCTAGTCTCAGTCCTAGTGTGTCAAGTCACAGCGACCTTGGTTGGGGACCATCAAACGTCATCGGGAAATGATTGCTGCGGGTCCTGAGCCAAAAAGAATATAACCATATCCTTATAGAAAAAATACTTTACTTCGAGTGATCCCCACCATGACATTTCAATCATTTGTCTTGATGCCATAGTGAGGAGCATGTTGCCATGGTCGTGAGTATTGTAGTTCTCGATTTTGCTTGTGGGTCCTCGGGTTGTGTGCTGTGGTTGTGTGTTGTGTTTGTGTTGTGTGCTGTGTTGTGGTTGTGGTTGTGTGTTTGTGGTTGTGTGATGTGTTGTGGTTGTGGTTGTGTGTTTGTGGTTGTGTGTTTGTGGTTGTGTGTTTGTGGTTGTCTTTGTGATTGTGTGTTTGTAGTTGTGGTTGTGGTTGTGTGTTTGTGGTTGTGTTTGTGGATGTGTTTGTGGTTGTGTGATTGTGTTTGTGTGTTTGTGATTGTGCTTGTGTTTGTGGTTGTGTGTTTGTGCTTGTGTTTGTGGTTGTGTTTGTGTTTGTGGTTGTGGTTGTGTGTTTGTTGTTGTGTTCGTGGTTGTGTGTTTGTGGTTGTGTTTGGGTGTCTGTGGTTGTGTTTGTGGTTGTGTGTTTGTGGTTGTGTGTTTGTGACTGTGTTTGTGGTTGTCTCTGTGATTGTGTGTTTGTGGTTGTCTTTGTGATTGTGTGTTTGTAGTTGTGGTTGTGTGTTTGTGGTTGTGTGCTTGTAGTTGTGTTTGTGGTTGTTTGTTTGTGGTTGCGTGTTTGTGGTTGTGTGCTTGTGGTTGTGGTTGTGTGTTTGTGCTTGTTTGTGGTTGTGTTTGTGGTTGCGTGTTTGTTGTTGTGTGTTTGTGGTTGTGTTTGTGTGTTTGTGGTTGTGTTTGTGGTTGTGTGTTCGTGATTGTGTGTTTGTGGTTGTGGTTGTGGTTGTGTGTTTGTGGTTGTGTGTTTGTGGTTGTGTTTGTGGTTGTGTTTGTGTGGTTGTGTGCTTGTGGTTGTGTTTGTGTGGTTGTGTGTTTGTGGTTGTGTGCTTGTGGGGTTGTGTTTGTGGTTGTGTGTTTGTGGTTGTGTGTTTGTGGTTGTGCTTGTGTGTTTGTGGTTGTATGCTTGTGGTTGTGTGTTTGTGATTGTGTGTTTGTGGGTGTGGTTGTGGTTGTGTGTTTGTGGTTGTGTGTTTGTGGTTGTGTGTGTTGCGGGCGCGGATGGTCGTGGTTGAGGTCCGGCAGAGAACACTTGGGTCTGGAGCTCGCGGTTGAGGTCCGGCAGGGAACAATGGGCGTGGTGGTTGAGGTCCGGCAGGGAACACTGGGGGCGCGGATGGTCGTGGTTGAGGTCTGGCAGGGAACACTGGGCGTGGATGGTCGTGGTTGGGGTCCGGCGGAGGAGGCGGAGGAGAAGGAGGAGATGGGGCTGACATGAAATCTAACAACCCTCACCTGACAGGTGGGGAATGAAAAAGAAAATAGAAAAACAACTTCAAGGAACCTAAGAGCGATGGCCCTCCACCCCAATAGCGACAGTCCTGAATGGCTTGACAAAGGACCTGCGCTCCGCATCTTCTTGCGACTCCACATCTACCACAGTCACGAATAGGCCTCCGCACAACGTGCCGAAGGAGGAATCCAAATTACTACTTGCGGCTGCATTCCCCAAAGCGCATGGATGGAACTAGCAAAGCAAAGACCAGTTAAGAGATTTACCATGAACACACTTCTGCTTGGTTTGCAATCAGGAAAAAAGTGAAAAGGAACCCTTTTCCTGCCAGCTATATGTCGATGCGTATATTCTGACACCCTCTGCTTGCCTAGAACAGACCACAAAGCCCAGGCTTCCCAAATTTCGGAACTCTCGGCCTCAGCCAAACGGCTCTGGCACTTTCCAGCTTTGGAAATCTTGGGCTGAGTGGGATACGAATATGCCTGGTTGCTGTAGAGAACTTGATAGGTTTCCATTCTTGGAGATCTTGGATAGTCGTGTAAGGAGTTACTTCTAATTAACATCTTCTAACCATTGATGTACTGTTGCTGTACATGTATAAATCAACTCCCACTAGCCCCATGTTTTGTTTTAGATGCACCCTCGTGTATTAACATGCACTGCTCTGGCGTTTCCGAATTCAGTTCTTTAACTTTGCATCGCTATGATGAGCTGATCTCTTGGGTTTCAACGGCAATGTGCCCTTGCCCGTGCATGATCTTGAGCGTTGTCTTTTTGTGTGGCTTTCCGCTGTTGTTGTTTTACGTTGTTCATTCGTTTCGCCATTGCTGCGCATGTTCTGCGTCGTGCTTGCCATGCGTTTTCGACGCTTTCCGTTGCCACTTGCGCATGGGATCCTTACGCTTCTTTGCTTTCCCTTTTGCGTCGTTCCCTCGCGCCTCCAGTTCCCTTTCTGTGCCCGCGACCTTTTTTCACATTCACAGTGCAGCAGTTTAGAGCATTTGGTAGCATTTTGACTCCTTTTGAAATTTCTTGATCTCGATGTGCACTGCACGTAAGTTTCGTTGTGTCGATTTCATGTGTTTTAATTTTGATCCCCTTTTCTCCGGGTAAAGAATCACAATCTTCTTGAATGGCATCAATTTGACATTCACTCTGCTGCTGAACTTTTTACATTTCACTGCTTTCGGAATGTCGTGGAATCACTTTTCCATGTTTCGAGTTTGCAGATCAGCTGTGTCGATTTCCACTTTGAACCTAATTGGCCCCAGTTTTGATCGGTCAATGACCTCCTTCTTTTTGACTCCACCCTCCAGTGAAGTCTGAGTTCGGGCGTACATCACAAGTACAGACTGAGGAGGTGTGTGATGGGTCTCTCTCTCTCTCTCAGATTCTCCGGCTAATTGGCAACAAATGCTAGCCTAATTGGCAACAAATGCTAGCCTAATTGGCAACATCGCGCGTGGCTAAATGCCAATACACATTCTCACGATCATGATAAAATCTTTACTGCTGCACCAAAAGCTACTTCAATGCCTACGTAGGTTCAACATTTGTTGGACATGCGTTCGATGCACTCACGTCAGCATCAGCAAAACACACCAACAACGCAACATGTTCACTGCTCCATCTCCAGGCACTCCAAGCTCCAGCCAAAAATCTGCCAAGCCACTATGGTGGAAATCACCTGTGAGCAAGGGCTTGACACAGGACACTTGAACTAGAGATCCTGGCTAGAAACAAACATACACACAAGGTCATAGAATTCTAGTGATCGCCACACAAGGAAAAACTGTCATTTTGTTTAACCAAATTTCATGGCCAGACTTTGCAACTTAAGCCGCTGCCAGCAACATATGCAACGAACCAGGCTTTTGCCGGGCTTAGCCGTAGAGCGAACTGATGCTGAAAATACATACGCATCCCCGTGGCGTCGTTTTGCTATGTGTTGCTGAGTTTTTGCTAAAGACGTGTCGGCTCCGGGTCTTGATACACCTGCCTGTACGGAGTGATGCTGCCCCTGCAAGCTCAGCTTTCGGACACAAAGGTGTCCGAACAAACCGATGTTTACCTCGGCAATACGCTGAAGGAGCCGTTGCTGCGTTACAGTGTCCTCCAGTCAGGTGCAGTCAACTGGGTCAAAACATTCAAGGAAAGAAAGCGCGTCGTTCATCCCCTGTAAGCTTGTGGTCCTAGTGTAGACAATGAGTACTTCAACTAGATGTACCTGAGGTTCCGCCTGGTCACAGGTTCTACATGTTCTCCCAGCAACTCTCCCCTTTAATTTCCGCCACGAAGCTGGAAGCAGTATCATGTCAAGCAAGCCATCCACTGTGATCCTGAAGGCGAGACGGTTGGAACATTTGACAGTTGTGCAAACTGCAAACTTTTAAAACTTAACAGAACTTAGTGGCGTGGACCATCCTTACGAAGGCAGCTGCCAAAAAAACGCTTTCAGTGTTGGTCACGAGATGCGATTCCCCTTGCCGTAGGCCATGTGTTGGCAAAATTGAAGGGTACATTCACGCCAAAAACCATCCAAGAATTCCTCTAGCAGGGTAAGTTACCGGCAAAGCTAGCAATGCCACATCATTCGCTCTGGATGGGTCTGGATCATAGGCCTGGACATGTACCCCTCCTGAGGGACCCTTTCAGAATCCGACGCGCTGGCCCGGACCAATTAAAAGCGCAAACAACTTTTGACGTGCAGTCGAGGCGGACATTGCTGGACAGCTATTCAACTGGATTCAACGTGTATTTGTGGTCTGAAGTTGAACTTGGGTGGGTCTGAGAGCTACAATCTTCACCCTATGGATGCAAGTCATGGGCCAAGTCAACTCTGCACATACAAGAGGTTTTCGAGAAACAAAAGGCTTGCTATTTCAACCTAGGAGCGTACCGTATTTCATCAAAATGTGACTCGACACCCCCAACAACAAGCACTCGGGATGCGGACCTCCGGGGAACGTGCTTGCCCCCCAGTGAAACTCACGCAACCTGACAGTTGGATACAAACAAACACAGTCCTGTGGATTTAAGCCAGTGCAGCCGAAGGCTCTTTGTCACAACATCTTTGCTCCGCACTGAGGAGAAGTTGTAAACCTGCAGCCGAAAAAGAATGGCATAAACTACGTAACACCGAGGAGGCTGCTTCGTGCCTGCAGCCAAACATACGCAACGCTGCAATAGAGGCGATGCTACGAATGGCGAAGAACAACTCCTTGAGCAAATGCCCAACACCATCCAATGACCAAACTGACCAAACCGTAACGACTTTGGGATGCTGTGGGTCCCTTGCAGATCCTTTCAGTATCTTTCAGTGTTCTTTTGTGAATGAACCTCCAGCAGCACCACCAAGTAAGTGAGGCAAATCGCACAGAAGGAGAGTTTCACTTCCTGAGCAGGGAGGCTTTGGAGGTCTTGCTTGCACGAAAACACACAAACTCAAGCATAGTGATGAATCATGATGGATCGATGATGGATACACAAAGAATCACAAAAATATCATGACCCTTCCCTGTGGCACTGTTTTGGATGAATCATGATGAATCTGTTTTGGTCACTTGGCCGTGTTGGGCAACAAAAAGGACGGACTGCCAGCGTGGCATTTTCGAACACCTGGATCAGAAATGTCGAGCTTGGCATCCCGGGCAAGTCTTTCGGCCGGACCCACCGATGGTCTTCACCAAGGAACGAAAGGCCAAGTTCCCACTGCCGAAATCACTTGGAACCTTGGCCACGGCAAGCCTGTCTGAGAAGTGATCAACAACAATGCATCTGCAAAAAGAGCTCCACAAGGGAACCATAGTCTCTTTGGACCACACCAATCGAATTCACCATGTGCGAGTCCAAAGACTTGCACCAAAGGTTGATCTCAAAGAGGGTTCGCAATACTTCCACATATATATTTCCTTGACGACCAAGCTGGGCCGTGCCAGAATGCATCCTGTGGCTGCGGAACTTTCTTTTGGATCCAAAACTCTTTGACCATGGACCATGCACATGTATATATGGGTGATATGGTGTGTCAGGTGGAGATGACATCCATTCGCCACGAACACATCTGTTGTCAGGGTCTGTGGGCCCGGACTCTCGGCTGATGAAGCCCAGCTGAATTGCCAAGTGGAACCAGTACCAACGGACCTGCCAACAGGCTGTGCCAACATTTGCAACTTACCTTCACTCAGTGCTCACACTCCTCTCTTCGGAAACCACCTCTGTTGACTTGGCGGATCAGACTTTCGCGTGATGTCTTTCAACACGAAACACAAACCTGGCTTTCTGAGGGGCGCACTGCTCCGTAGGTCGAGAACCACAAATAGAAATCACCTCTCTCTGGGCAACTCTTTGCACATTTACTTATTTGTTTCTAATAGCTTCTTGCTACTAGTAATGCCAGGAGCCCCGTTCGTAGCGTCCTTTCATCGTAATCTTTTCATCCTTCACTTTCATCGTAATCTTTTCTTTCCGCTCCGATGAGGTCTCTCCAGCTGTCCCGGGACGTGTCAAATGGGAGTTCTTCTGGTAACAATGAAGGTGGATGGCAAAGTGTAGAAGTCCTCCTTTTCATCAGAACACCCAGACATGAAATATGAACATGGACATAAACGTGACATCACCTTGAATAGTAACCGTAAAACATGACATCACCATGAAGTCCGATCAGTATCCAATATCCAAACGAGACTGACATGATCGTGATAGGAATACTTTTGACAACACATGTGAACACAAACATGAACATAGCAAGGATTGATCATAAATCCGAATAGCATCAACGTCATGAAACCAAAAACACATGACAAGGCATAAACATGACATGAACTGCCACAAACAATCCAAATCAAATCGTTAATTACATGAAAACACAAAGGCTGGACCATGAACATGATATGGAGGTGGGCTTGAGAATGAGACCGCATATACTGTAGCTGGCGTGAACATGAAAACATGTAATGACCCTGACCAGGACTGGAGGACCGTCAACTGGTACGAACCCGTCATGAGAAGGAACATGATTGTGAGCTTGAAATCTATGTGAATATGTCATAATGCAAACCACCCGCAACAAGAACGGCCAACACGCCCTAGCAAGGACACAAAGGGAAATGAATACAGCTACACTACCAACACCAACGACAAACACATTTGCACAATTAATTGGCATCATCGTCTGAATCAACTTGCACCATCCACCTCAATCCAAAAAAGCGATAGCATGTACGCTCTGTTCTCACTAGGATTGATAGGATATTCTTCGCTGCTAGCTGCCAGTCCTTTCAACCGTTTCACTGGAGGTCGGAATTCCCTCGGAACTTCAACCAGCACTGGCATTGGCTCAAAACACTTGGAAGATGTACCCAAATGGGCGGATTCTTTTTGTTTTGTCCGCATCAATCCTTGGATTGCCGTCCGGTTCATCAGTCCGTCTTATTTGGATCCCTCTCCACGCCATGCAGGCCAACAAAGATCGAACATAGCGTCAATCGCCTTGGGGCCAGGTAGCTGCAGGGGAGGAATGCTGATGGCATCAGTTTCTGTATCTTCTTGTCCCTTGATTCACGTATTTAGGTGCCATGTATCGATGTTTCGCGCCAACTGTAGATTCTGTTGGGGTTCAAAATTCCCAAACCTTAAAGATGGAGTCCCCTCAGTTCGATGCGGGTCCCAAGACTTGAAAAGTGCTCCAAACACTGGGAGACAGAAGGTTTTTGAAGCTTTCTGCACCTTTGCAGGTCTTAGCATGTCTTAGCCACAGCGAAATGTCAGTTCCTGGATGGGATTCTGGTGCCGCCCCAATGAATGCAAAGCTGCAACATGGGATGTAGTTTGTCGAAGACTCTAAACCACTTGGCTGTGCAGCAAAGCGGCATGCTCGCAAGGGTGGTCCAACCTCCACAATCTGAGGGTCTACGACGATCAACACAGCAACGCATGGCAACAAGGTGCCATATCAAAAGCAAACAAAAAGCCAACTTGGGAGCATGACTTGCACCGTCCAAGAGCATTCAGTCAGGCTGCAGTGGCATGAATGGAATGATTGCTAACCCCACAGCGCTTGGACCATATCTTGCCAGCTTTGGCTTGTGCGCAAAGCGTTCCTTGTCGAAGAAGTGCTGGGACTGATGGACGCAGGTGTGGATGATCACCTCAGGCAATGACAACATAATTAGATTATATAGATTTGATCAATGCCATCCGCTACATCTGATTACCCTCCCCCCAGACCCACTATTGACTTGAGAAGGGCCTGTTCTGTTGCTTAGCTTCAAATATGCACACACAAAAATCACTAGAACAAGGCCACCCGAGGCAACCCGGAGGATAATGATGCAACAAAAGGGAGCTCAAGTGATGACCCAGTTCAATCCTACAAAGGAATCTGAGTCAATCAAGCACTGAGTTTGCTACTTATCACTGCTTCATCTTCATCATCATCATCAACAACACCAACACGACCACACCATTCAACAACCCTTGCAAAAGAACTGTGACCCTCTGCCTCCAACTGTCTTTCGCCGCTGTGTCGTTTGTGCCAGGCGACTGCAGGCAAGGCCAGCGATGCCAATGTTTGGAAGACAGCAGTGTGAGCGCACGCAGCAGCAATTTCCTCTCGGCTGCAGTTCTTCTGGTGCTTCCGATACCCCGCTAAAGTAGTGTCAGCTAAAACGTAGGCCTTCGGAGGCAAAAGACTTTGGTCCAAGAAATAGACAGCCTGTGTTCTCAAGGAAATTCCTATGTTTCCAATGTTTATCTTTACCTGAACTTCCGCAAAGCCAACAGAACTGTCTTCACTATGTTTGCTGACTTGGTTATCAAAGGCCATACCTTTGTGACTTTAGAAGCAGCATAAAAACGTAGTGACCAACCCCAGACCAAAAGTAAGCAAACACTGATGACATCTCAAGTGGGTGTTGCAAATGAAAAAGATTTAACTCATGACGTCGAGAAGCTCCTGCAATACCATAGCTCAAGTTTACTTGCCAAGGTTTCAAGACCGGTCGCAGCGATTCGCCCACGTCACTGGAGTAGGCGATGTATCTTTGGGAGCTCAATAACAACCGCTTGGCACGTGCCAAGTACGGCAGGTATCGAAACGGTGTCTCCTCCAACTCTTTCGTGAAGACCTGCCCGAACGGACGACACGACTCCACGCGACACAACACGTGACACAACACGCGACACGACACGCTTCGATGCGATCGCGTCACATCGTGACACGATGATGTGTACCTCTGCACGGGTCTCTCCACCACTGGAAAAGAAGCCAGGAATGTCGTGACACCACGCGATCGATGCCTAGGCAGTAGGAGCACCAACATGTGCCACAGACGAGTCATAAGGATGATTTGTTGCCTACGAAATACATGTTCTCTTTTTCTGCAGCCTTTTTGCTCTTCTGTTTTCCTTTCCTTCGGTCTTCTTTTTGTGTGTTTCTTCTTTTTGGGTAGGATTGACAAAAACTGAGCCACTGGTTTCAATCCAAGCCAAACTGGACGGTGAGGTTGAAGCAAAGAAGGAAAGCAAATCTGCACGTTCGGATGGACGGGACTCTTTTCAGGCCATGTTTGTCCCTTCGCCATGGACAAGAACGTCGAGAATGATTGATGATGATGGCACTTGCTCACAAGTGCTCGAGTATCATTGAGCGACTGCAAAACCTTTGTGGAAAGTTCAATGTTCATTGATAGGATTGATGGAATGTCTGTTGCACCATGTTGCGGCCCTAGGCAAGCTTGGTCCGGTATGTCTTGAGATTGTATGGCTGCACACTGCACATGTGCAAATGCCATAGCTAGGGATGCTGAAACCACACGGCCCTGATACATTGCCTTCGAAACACTTTGGACCCTCGTTGGACTAAGCTACCACTTTCTGAGCAAAAGCTTCAACGACGCACCGGTAGGTGTGATAAGCCACCCTCGCACAACCGGGTACTATATACAGGCTTCCCGTGGTGCTGGCCACACACGGCAACAAAACTACTGATAAGGCATTGGCGCGCGGCAAAAACATTAATTATCATTAATTATCATTAATTATGAAAGTATGTAACTTGTGTGGAACTGTCAGAAATCATATCCTCTCCAATCAAAGCTGTTCCAATTCCTCTTCTGCTTCCTCCTCAATGGGAACATGTAGAGCAGGACTGAGTCCTCCTGAGCGAACCTTTGCTCTGGAAGTCAGATCAATTGGCCGAGGTGGCAACGTCGGAAGGGAGCACCGACAGCTGTTTGTCTTTGTTTCCTCATCTGAATTGTTGTAAAGCAGGATGACTGGTGTGGCCTGAAGATTCCTGACCTTCTTGTTTTTCTTCTTGTGGACAATGCCCATGCTTGCCCCACTCCCCATGGCAAGAAGATCCGAGTCCAAGTGCACTCACAGATCCTCTATGCTGCAATGTTTTGAGCCAATTTTGGTATCCAAAGTCGACAGGTTTGAGACCATTTGAGACCACAGCTGGGGCTTCCCAGCCACGCAAATGTGGCAAGTCGAATTGATACCGTTGCCTACTGAGTCTACTGACCTTGCTGCTCCCGCCTATTGATGTGGATGTGGATTGAGCAGGCTCGCGGTTGCAAATGCAGCACCTGCAGCGTGGAACTAAGCCGCCATCAGTTAGGGGCAGTCCCATTGAGGGATACGACGAAGCAAGTCCCATGGCCCTTAGCCATGGCCTATGGCCCCCCATGCCCATTCATGACTAATAGTCTTCACTCTTTACGCACCACTGAGATGCCTGAGTCTTGCACAACCAACCATGAAAACAAAGGCCGCATCTCCGACAGCAGCTCAGGAGTGGCCTGTCATCACACCATCTCAGGAACACGAGGGAGTAATTAGTGGCGCACACTTCAGGTTGCTGAAGGAGTAACCCATGTTTTTCGTTGGGAATTTGGGGCTTAGAAGCTTAGCACTTCTTCGTTTGTCACTTTTTGCGTGTGCAACAGAGGTCGACTTCGAAAAGGACTGCAAATGTGCCTCTCCGAAAGGTTCGGTTTAGGTGTCGTGTGCATGTGTGGTTCCGGGGTGCGGCTTCGATGTGTCGTCCGTGGACATGTCTCACTCTGAGGTGTCCACATCTAGACGACCGACTGTCATATGTCGTTCATAAATGTTCAGATGTGTTGCGTAGCACTTGCATGCTTTGTCAATAGTGCTCAAGCATGATGATGTACACATCGATGCGTCGCTTGCAAGTATCGTTGCGCTGCTGTTGCGAACCGGAGGCATGACTGACTTGTATAAATTCTATAAATTAGATCTATGCGCCCTCCGGATTGGGAGGATTTGGGAGGTTTTCGGTCCCGTGTTCTTTCAATATCTCAGGTGTTGCTTCTTGGGTCTTAAAGTATGTCCGGTAGTCTCTAGCTCAGATGTAGAGGTGGTGCCTATGTTTTGCCCAAGTGCTCACAAACGCCGGGTCCATAAACAAACAGCAGAAAACTTTCAAGAAACAGCAGCTGGAACAGTCGCTGCAGCCCAAACGCTGACATGCGCTTTTCCTTTTGACTCAAGGGCCCTCGATAAGGCCCGGGCTTGAGCAAGCGGCATGAAGGACTCAGGTCGAATCTGACGGAATGCGGGCATTCTCACGCCTATCAAGCTCTGTTCGATTGAGTCCGTTGCCTCCGCGGCAGGATGCCTCATCCGTTACTTCTCCACGAAGATAGGTTTGGTCTTCCCCAATGTTTCCGGGCATGTAATGTGGATGTAGTCATCCTTGTCCTCAATCAAGCGTCCAACCGCTTTTGAACCCTTTCCATGAGTTCATCCACGCGACGCCGTGCGATGATCACCAGCCCAAATCAAGTCGTCCACATGGCTGCACACCATTCCACAGATCTCCCCACTGTCGCTGAGGCTGTACACGGCGGTCAATTTCTGTCAACCCCTGGTAGAGCTCCTTCCGCAACTCCATCCAGAAACGCCTGGGTGCATCTTTGGAGCTGCGCGCGCTCATCAATGCGATCATGTAGGTGAGTGGCTCGATGGGCGCCTCACCCTCCGCTGGAATCCCATCTTTCCTTGTAGGAATGCCGCCGTGATGTCACTTGACAGATCGAGAGCGTCGAGGCGCACAAAGTGCTGCGCATGCGGACCATGTGACCGCACCCCTGAGGCAACTTTCCTCCACCTTCTCGAAGCGCTGTGTAGGTCACATTCTCCGCCTCCGTGTTCTTCAAGCCCGCAGAGAAGTAGACCGCCCTGGAACGGCCAAAGCTTTTTCTTTTCGCCATCCGCCAAGCTAGCCTCCTTCTTCTCCAGAGCCTGCACTGCGAACTTGTATTCCGGCCATGAGGACACATCACCTCCTTATATATCCTGGTTTGATGTGGCCCACTGAGGTTTGTACACCCCGTGCCGAAGGGTGTCCAGCGCCATGGCAAGTGCTCTACAAAAAGGGCAACCCGCTAGGCAACTGGCGCATCGAAAAAGGTGCTGGAGCGCTATTCGCTCCGCTGCCAGACAGCAACTGGAACAGTCGCTGCAACCCAAACGCTGACACGCGCTTTTCCTTTGACTCAAGGGCCCTCGGTAAGGCCCGAGTTTGAACAAGCGGCGTGAAGGACTTATGTCGAATCTGACGGAACGTGTGCGTTCTCACAAAAACTGTTTGTAGTTCGGTCTGTCTTCGGGTTGGGTTCCATCAAATCTTGCACAGGTCCACACCCAGTCCACCGGTCGGTCCACTGGTCGGTCTCCGGTCGACAGCCTGGAACAGTATCGCATCGCCAGTGCAAAGGTGCCCATGGCGAATTGCAGCAGAACTACATCCACCTTGGTCTGCAAACCCTGGTATCAGTCCAAACGCATGTTCAAAAACATGTCTCAACATGTATAGAAACCCTCATATCATACACACAATATAGGTCGAACATGCAATTGTTTTCAGAAGCCTCTTACCTCACACATAAGAGAAAACGGTTGGCCAGGACACCGAGACTGTGCCAGAGTGCTCTGGGTTCGAATCTGAAAAAGCGTCGTCAGGTTCGACATGGTTCGACCACTCTGGGCATGTCAACCCCCTCTCTCTGAGCAGCTAGCCTGACTCATCGTGAGCGCTGCCCTCAGCAGGCAACGCCATCCAGACTAAAAAGGCATCTGATCACCACGGTCCATAGCGAAGGAGTAAAGGACCTCTGTTGGCAGTCCATATACGGAACTGATGCTTGAATCCCACTTGTGGCATCCTCGAAGCATGGTAATGTTGAACTGCAGCAGTGGTTGAACTGCCTGAACGACTTCAATCTGTACTTTACCATCACATGTTCTGCTAAGCTTGGAACTTGCAGTGATCTCTGTTATCCTTTTCTATATATACGGTTTCCAAATATGTATATATATATTATTACACTGTAAATGGAGCATCTCCAAGTGCAGCAATCTATCACCAAGCGAGTTGGGAAATGTGAAGGTTGTATTATCTTGCATCTCTCAAAGAAGAGTTTTGCAATGTTTTGCAGCTTTCCTCTCAATGTCAACACTGTGTCATTATACAATTCCCGCGCAAGGAAGCGCTTGCCGCTCTTCTTTTCTCCGGACATGCGACCAACTCCTAGTCTTCTTGCCAATGCGACAAGAATGCAATTCACATCGTGGGGTGCCTAGATCTTTGCCGGGCATCTTGTTTGGTGCCCTCTTTCCACATGGTATGCAGAATTGCACCAAGCCATCTTGTGGCTCTAAACACCAGGGTCAGGGTCTGGCAACAGCCTGCATGCAACATCGTGGAACAAAGCCAGTCCTTAGTGGACAGTACAATATGGTATCTATCGAAATTGCCAAGGCCAAAAGGGTGATCCTCCATCTTTTCAAAGGGGTTGCTTACACCATCACTCCCACTACCATACAAATTACTGAACAGTTCAATTCCACGTTGGTTGCTCACATGTTTTACCTGACACGCAACAACACAGAAACGAATTGAACACATGGTGCTATCAAAAGAATGACGTTGAAATGGACTCAAACTACACGTTCAGAGTCTGGAGCTCACAGCTCAAGATCACATAGATTCTTGTACTAGTAGTCCCCAGAATTCTAGCTTAACTCGATCCTCAGGCGATTCAATATTATTGCGCTTGCACTGCTCTGCAACATATCGATTGGGATTAGGCACTGACCAAGTGGCTATATAAGGGTCAAAGCATCTGGCAGCGGGCATAGTCAGGGTTCAACCATGCCACCAAGCTTGTTTTGGAGACAATTGGTCTGGGCAAATGCATCATTTGGAACTAGGCTCAGCCGACTTGCAGCAGGCTCAACATCCGCTCAACGCATTTCGGGGCTTACGAGATGACACCCAATTGACAAGAAAGAACACGTACAAGGTTGGTGTCTTCTGACTTTGTGCTGATGTGACTTGGTTGGCATGGACGCCATACGGATAGATTGTGGCGTTTGAGTTGAGTTTGGCTTGACCTGATGATCAACAAGTGGCCCAAAACAATTTAATGCCTGCTTCTGACGACTAAGCCATGGCCAAACAGTTCTCATTGCATGAGATCTTGGCAAGTTCCAAGCTGCGCTTGCCTCCAGGAAACAGGCGGAAGGAGTCGAGTGGCAGCGCTGGGAACAAGGGATTTGCATGTTAGCTTCAAACTTGCAAGCTTTCACTGCTAGCTTGCAGCCTTTGGACTGAAGCAAACTAGCACTGGACAGAGCAGGGAACAACTAACAATACCTACTATGTAAAGAACACAGTGCAAAACTATTCGGCTTGATTGAAAAGAACTTGCTTTCCAACCAGTATCAACAAGTTGCCCGCAAAAATGAACAGGAGCTCGTCCACATTGACAAAGTGAGAGTATTGTGGAATAAACGGACAAGACCACAGGATATTGAATCAGTGCTCCAGCAGTCAGTGTCTGATTGATGGAATATTGGCATGCATGAAACTGGCAGTTGAGAAAAGGCTTTTGAGCCAAGCGTGGTGTGATTGTGTTGGAAATCGTCTAGTGAAATGGTCCGCAGTCGTGGAGGCAAATTGCTGCAGGGATGTCCAGCCCGGAGCTGCGGTTTCAGAGTAGATGGCACAATCTCCAAAGGGGTGGTTGATATTGACCTCCATATAAAAGTATATACAGTGTATATATATATATATACAAAACATCTTTGGGTTTGTGCCATCTGCTCTGAAACCACCATACGTCTGTACTCTTGGGGGGAACCTACTTATACTCTGAGGTACGTTCAATCCCACGAGTGAAACCACAAACGGACTGATGGTTCTATTACCTTGCGGAACTTGTGACAATCAAGATAAAACAAGTAAAAAAAATGGCGAACCGAGACAGGAGTCCCGACTAACACCGTGCCTCAAAGCAGGCTCAGGCGTGACTGCGAGCGAAGGAAAGCGAGCAAAGCATTGCACACCACTGTATTTTGGTGAAATTCATCTACATAACGCTGTTAAACTTACTGTAATCAAACAAGTCCTAAACAAGAGAAAAAACATGAAAGCAGGAAGGTAAGGCCCTTGGCCGCTTGGCCCTTTAAACATCATCTAAAGTTTAGACTTTCACAACACCAGTGTGCTGCTCACCCTGGTTTAGGAGCAAGAAACACAATTTTGCATCACACTTGTGAGCGCTCCATAAACCCAAGATCAAACTATCAGTTGGAGAAAGAACCAACATCGGTTTGTGTCACTTGAGAAAGCACCTGTCAGTCACGCCTGTAGTTCATAGACTGCAGACCGCAACTCTGCAACTCGATCTTCCAACATCTCAGAGCATCAGCAGCTGGAAGAAGGCGCGAAGCTCACCAGGAGTATTGGGTAATCGATATGGTTGTCCTTTTTCGGGTGGGAGAATGACCACCCATTTCTATCCATTTGTAAGAGGCAAGAGTATTGGGTGATCGTGGCTAAGACAGGAGGTGTCACCAGGCTCCGAACCAACGCACGAATTTGTGCGGCCCTGAGCTGCGTCCAGGATGGATTTCCTGGTGCCCACGTAAGCTGGGATTTGATTGTGTGTTCACCCCACTGCACAAACACTACAGGTGCAAGCGTGTAAGTGTATATTGCAGATTTCCTTGATAGAAGAGATCATGGAGCCTGTGGTGCTGCTAGTGCTGTAGCACTGCAACGACACAAGACCTATATCCAAAGCAGCGAATCTCTCGTGAAGTGGTGTGAAGCCAAACAGCGACAATCACGCCCACAAAGTTATGTACTGCTCGTGCCACCTTGCAAAATTCTACATATGGATTATCTACAGACTTAGCTCCAGAGTTGACGGCCTCCTGGTGCTGAGGCGGCGAGATTCTCGTCCAAAGTGCCTGGAGTCTGCACGTTGACGACCGATCCGATGGGCGATTTCGAGGTTTCAATGTCGGTTCTCAGAAATAGGATATTTCTGTCATCGTTTGGAATGATTCGTCAATGGGAATACTGTGTCGAGCACCCCCGCGTTGTTCAATCATGCTTCTCTGCTCCAGCACGGCAAACCGTACCTTGTTGTGCTGAGAGAGAATTCAGTGTTTTCATGCCAAGAACGAATCATTTCAGTGTTTTTGCAGTAATTATATATATATATGTATATATATATATATCCGCCAGCCTTTAACATAATTCAAAGGCTTGGGCCTGGGATGACTCACTATCAGGAACAGAAGCAAGCAAAGAGTGTTAAGAGGTAATTATCTTTTTTGCACCTGAAGGGTTTGGCTGTCTCGGTCAACTGTGGATGAGACTGCGACCGCTTTGGTGGCTAAGTGCTCTGGCATCCTCAAGCAAACGCTCCACAGCGGTCAGCTCCTGTCTCGTCAGGTCAAACACTTCGTAATCACGACTGTCTGGCTGGTGGGATTGGCCAGTGCATCCCCCATTGTCTTGGAATGCTGGATTCAACTTCTTTACTTGCAAAAGAAAGGCATAGGTGTTCAGAACAGTGCCACTTATATAGCTGTTGCTGCTGCTGGATGTTGGATAGCCATGGATTGCTTGCAGGGAGTTTTCCTCAACCACTGTGCAGCAATGGACTCAGACAAATCCTGTCAAGCAACCTGAAACAAGTGCACAGCCTTAACTAGCGAAAACAAAACCAAACCAGGTGAAGAGAGGGGGGAGGGCAAACTCCCGAACAACCACCCTTATTCATTCGCTCGCAATGGCGAGATTTGCATGCTAGAGAGTGACATAGAATTTCATTGCAGCCAGGCCCTGCTCATGAAAACTGTTCCACCCTCTGCACCGTGTAACACCACGGTTCTTGAGCTTTCGAACGCTTTTCACCAAAATTCAACATCATTCTTTGGACAACTTTCCAAAATAGACAATTGACCTTCGGTGTTTTTTCCCACATCAGGTTTTTACTTGAGCAAAGTACCTGTGCCTTTAACCTCATGAACACTAAATTCATCGAAGCGTTCTGATGCTCAGGTAATTTCCTGCCCCAAACATTTACATCACTACTTCTGATCATATAAAAAATGACAACTAACTACAGTTCCACTAGGCCAATTAACTAAAGATGAAATCGTGCCATCTACCTGGCCTTCCAGCCCTCTCTTCAAAAAACACATGCTCACTTGCGGGCGAGGGATCAACAAGAAAACAAAATTGAATCAAAAAACTAGACGACGGTTGGCCCGAGAGCGAGACATGTGATTGTCCAGCACTGTCGAAAAGATATATAGAAAGAGAGAAAGAGAGGGTGGACGTGAAGGAGTGACAGTGTGGATGTGCAGGTGCGATATAGATGTGTAGATGTATGGAGGTGGAGAGGTAGATCTGTGGATGTGAGCGTGCGAAGATGTAAATGCACAGAGGCGAGAGAAAAGATATGCAGAAAGAACGAAAGACAGGACAGATGTGAAGGAGCGACAGTGTGGATGTACAGATGTGATATAGATGTGCAGAGATGTGTGGGTGTGGTGAGGTGGAGAGGTAGATCTTGCAGCTTCAACAGTGTGTAGAAAGAGAGAAGGAGAGGGCGAATGTGCAGGAGTGACAGTGTGGATGTGCAGGGGCGATATGGGTGCGCAGATGTGTGGCGGTACATCTGCAGATGTGAGCGTGTCAAGATACTCTCGTGGGACACTCTCTCTCTCTCTGGGACACTCTTGTGGGACACTCTTGCCACAAATCCTCGCCGCGTTTACGCCAGCATGTTTCGCGCTCCCCAGTGGCACGGCGCCATGCAGACGCACTTTCCACCAAGGCCGCACAAATCCCAATGGCACTGCGACATCACCACCGTCGCGTCGCCACACGGGCTGCCCAGACACTAGAAGCCAACATGTCACATGATACCCCAAGTATGAGTCCAGTTCCCGTACTACATTTGTACTCCAAACTTCTGAGTCCAGCTCCGAAAAGCTCTTTCCCGTACTACATTTGTACTACAAACTGGCCATTCTGATCTCTCACCTGCATTTCGCGCCTTCCGCGCGCACGATCTCCGCAGAGGGCTGTGCCGGATAAATCCGAAACGCACTCTCGCCTGCCTTTCGCACCCTCGACACGCACGATCTCCGCCGCAGAGGGTTGCGCCGGAGAGGCCAAAACGCACTCTCGCCTGCATTTTGCGCCCTCGACACGCACGATCTCCGCAGAGGGTTGCGCCGGACCGGGCCAAAACGCACTCTCGCCTGCATTTCGCGCCCTCGACACGCGCGATCTCCGCAGAGGGTTGCGCCGGACAGGGTCAAAACACACCCTCGCCTGCATTTCGCGCCCTCGACACGCACGATCTCCGCAGAGGGTTGCCCGCGCCAAATCCAAAACGCACTCTCGCCTGCATTTCGCGCCCTCGACACGCACGATCTGCGCAGAGGGTTGCCCGCGAGCGGGCCAAAATGCAATCTCACCTGCATTTCGCGCCCTCGACACGCGCGATCTCCGCAGAGGGTTGCGCCGGACCGGGCCAAATCGCGCCCTCGCCTGCGTTTCGCGCCCTCGACGCGCGCGATCTCCGCAGAGGGTTGCGTTTCGTGGTGCTCCGGCGGCACCGCCCCCGGCCTTAAGAGAGAAAGGAAAGAAGAGCGAGAGGTGAAGGTGTGAGATGTAGATGTGAGGATGTGAAGATGAGCAGAGATGTATAGATGTGCAGATGTGAACATGAGCAGAGATGTCGATGTGTGAAGATGAAGATGAGCAGAGATGTAGATGCGAGGATGTGAAGATGAGCAGAGATGTAGATGTGCAGATGTGAATGTGGATGTGAAGATGAGCAGAGATATAGGTGAGAATGTGGATGTGCAGAGGTGAAGATGTGAAGATGTAGATGATGCGTAGTTCTGCAGATGTTTTTTTACGAAGAACCCTTCGCAGACGCTCTCGGGAATAAATATATTTCAGGGGATCAAAAAAACAAACATGAATCAACAATACGTAAACGCACCCAAACGTGCAAAGGGAAGAGCAATATTCCATTGATGGGCGGGGGATCAACAAAAAACAAAAGAAAAAACGTATATTTCAGTGTGATCAAGAAAAAACAAATTCTCGCACCCAAACGTGCAGAGGGAAGAGCAATATTCCATTCGAAGCAGTGATCGAAGAAACAATCAAACACACAGGAAAATCACACGAAAGGAAAATGAACATGACAGAAAGTAGGAAGAAAGAATGAACGAGTCAATGAACGAATGAAATGAATGAAATGAAAACGCTCAACAATTAAAAGCGGGAGGGGGTGCGGGGGAGGGGCTGCTCCCCCGCAATGTAACTTGGCACGACCAAAAAACAGATATCATGGAGTTTCCCCAATGAATCTTCCTTTGATAACTGCAATGGTCTCTGCGCTGGGCATCTGGGCAAAGTTTTGCAACATCGCATTTCAATTTCACAGCCTTCCTTCCTTCCTTCCTCCCTCTTCCTTTCTTGCTTCATTCCTTCCTTCCTTTCTTGCTTTGTTCCTTCCTTCCTTCCTTTCTTCCTTTGCTCGGTTCTTTCTATGTTTTTTGTTGATGTATTTATATTTTTATTTTGATGCATTTTTGTTTATTTTTTGATGTTTTTTTAAGATTTGATGCGTCTCCCGCACTTGCCATTTACCGCATTTACTCCCAGCCTGCAAGCTCAAGTCTAGCACGTCGCGGCGACCCTGAACGCCAAAGCGGCTCAAAAGGGGGGGGGTCTCAGTGCTCCAATGCCCTTATTAATACTAGTAACGTCCTTGCTCCTAATAGTAGTAAGGCCCGGAGCTCCTAGTAGCGTCCTTGCTCCTAGTAGCAAGGCCAGGAGCCCCTAGTAGCGTCCTTGCTCCTAGTAGCAAGGCCAGGAGCCCCTACCGTAGATGGACGAAATATTCAAACCCTTTCAACCACGAGGACCCCTTCTACCCCAAAGCTCAATGTTAGAGGTCTTGCAAGAATGTTTCGGCGAATGGACGAAACAAATCAAACCCTGGAAACGCAAATTCAATCAAGTTATGTTCAACATTGACCTTTGGGGGTCAGGGG